AAAAGGGGAAAAAAGGAAATTGAAGGGGGTTTGTTTTGTACCTGGAGGGAATCACCAACATTGATGAAAAGGGAGGTCTGATCAGGTGGGACTGAAACCCAAGTCCCATCTCTGAGACAGATTTGCAGGCCTGATGTGTTGTTGGATCTTAGGACAGAAATTATCTGGGGGTCTGTATGTTCCCCAAACCCAAACCCAATCAAATTTCTATCACTCAATGCTTGTAGCTCCGGACATGGTGGATAGTAGTTTAGCCTAAAACATGAGTCACTTTTCTCATCTCTTAGCATCCTGCTCAATACATTCCTCTGCTCAATCTTCAGTCCATCCGCAATCAGTTCCACAACTTCAAATGCTATTTTCTTCATTGCCGAGATGTAATCTCTGACAGCGGAGCTAAAACGCACCAAAACAGGGTAACAAAAAAAATCAGAATCTTCAAATATAATTGAATTAAGACTCCATTTGGCTCGTGAAAAATGATTTCCTAAAAAAATTTCTATTGAAATATTCCTGATGTCATCCAAACAACAGACATTAGGAAGTCATTTTCTGCGAACCAGACAGAGGATCGATCTTTAAAAAGGACAACTTTACCGGAAAATTTCTGAGTTTTCCTGGAAAACAGAGAGGGTTCTTTGGGAGGCGACGTCGGGTTTGGTATTGAGTAGGAGGTATTCGATCCAACCCACATCACCATTTGCACCAATGCTCTTGTTACCGTACCCAAAAGGGTCGGGCGGGCCAGCCTTGTCTTTCTCCAACTGGGGGAGGTTAAAGAAGCGGAGAGCTTCGGCTTCTAATATGGTGGCGATCTCCATTGGAACGCCATGGTTGACAAGCTTGAAGAATCCGAACTCCTCACAGGCTTTCACTATGAGGGTCTTGGCTTCAGGGTCCATCATGTCTATCACCGGAATTCCAGTGAAAACACTGGCAGCCGGTTTGCATGTTTTAATCAGGGAGCAGTGGTCTAATGCCGGCGGCGACAGAACCACCATGTTTGCGGAGGAAGGTTAATGGTGAGATTGAAGAAGAAGGATTCAAATGGGGAAATTAAAGGGGAGAGGACAATTAATTTGAGGAAATAGCATGAAACAGAGAGAGGAGGGGCAGGGGCGTTACTAACTATACAGAGTCATGTCTGGTCTGGTGTCTGCCTCGCATTTATGCTGTCAAAGGGAGCGATTTTTAATATTTTCTCCTCTTTTTTTCTTGATTTTTATAATAATGAGTAGAAATTGAACGCCATTTTTATGGGGAAAAGAATAAATTTTGGGTTTGTGGTTAAAATAATAAAGGGTTTATTTATATATTTTAAAGTAGAAAAGTAATTCAAGCTAAATATATTTGGCCAAAACCCCTATTTGCACCATCTATTTATTTTTTTTCGTGGTTAACACATTTCAGAATTTTTTCTCCCTATTCACACCTTTCACTTTTCAAAATTTGTGAAAAACCCAATATTTTAACGAATCGTCACGACACCGTTAAAAAAATGCATTATGTGACACTCAAAAATTGATGTGGCATATGCAGCATTTTCTTATTCGTCAGGTTCAGATGTGGATCTGTTTTTTAATGATGTGGCTTCTTTTTTGCACACGTGGACGTCACGTGTGCAGCAGCGAGAGCAACAAAAAATTATAATATTACCAAACAGTAACATAAATGGCATTTTTTCATTTTTTTTCTTTCTCCCCTCATCCTCGGCATCATCTTCACCATCCTCCATTTCAATGGGTTCCTCATGTGGAACCTAGTTTGGGTTCCTGCACAAAACCCAGTTCGGGTTCCTGCGCATGAAACCCAGTTTCTAGGTTCCGACCTTTTTTTTTTTCATTTTTTCATTTTGAATGTATTTATTTTAGTTTCCTATTTTATGCAAAGTAATTTGGAATAAGTTTTTTGTTGGAAAGGGGAGTTTTTTTGCTTGGAGATTGTTTATGAACAAGTTGCCAATTTGAGGTTTTTTGGTTTTTTGTGGGAAAGGAGTAGAAGATGCTTATCATGTTTTTGTGCAGTATTCGTTTACTTATAATTGTGTGGATGCAAATCTTAGCTTGGTAGGCATTTATGTGAAATTAGGTTCCACGAAGAACTCAGAACTTGAGTTTCGCAAGGAACCTAGGAGGATGAGGACGAGGATGGTGAAGATGATGCCGGGAAAGAAGAAAATGAAGAAATTAAAATTAATTATGATTTAATTATAACACATTATAAAAAAAAAAAGTCCAACATTGGATTAATAAATATAACATAAAGTCCTGGGTTCTTGGTTTCATGAGGAACCCAGGAGGATGAAGAGGAAGATGGTAAAGATGATGCAGGAAAGAAGAAAATGAAGAAATTAAAATTAATTATAGTTTAATTATGTCATATCATAAAAAAAAAGTCCACATTGGATTAATAAGATGACATAACGTTCATGTTACTATTTGATGCCATGTATTACAATTTTTAACGGTTATTAACGGTGCCGTGATGGTGGGTTAAAATATTGGGTTTTTCACGGGTTTTTCACAGGTTTTTCACAGGTTTTGAAAAGTTGAGAGTGTGAATTGAGAGGAAAAATTTTGAAAGGTGTTGACCACGAAAAAGAATTAAATGGAAGGTGCAAATAGGGGTTTTGGCCAATATATTTTTACTTTTTATTTTACTACTTGAATTTTATTGAATTATAAAATAAAAATTATTAAATTAAAAAAATTATTTTTAATATTAAAAATTTATTTTTTATTTAATGATTTATATGATATAATTTGATGTAATTTAAATTATATAATATTATTTCTAATGATATATTTTTATAACTCATATTTGATAATTTTAATAACAATAATAAACAGTTATACATTCACTCACTTGATGTTATTTCGCTATTATAAGAAAGAGAAGAAAACGTCTGTAAATCAACTTTGTCGAGGAAACTTATTTAATGGTAATTTTTAGATGTAAGAGATAATGAAGTGTGACACTATGGTATTATGGTTTTTCCATTTCTTGCCAAAAGCGTGAGTCCAATCTCAGCAGTCTAGATATAATATATCCATAGAAAGAATGTGCAACACAGAAGAAGAATTCCTATCCCAAATCACTGGATATAAGAATTGTACCCAAAAAAAATCACTGGATATAAGAATAGGAAATTAAATTCAACGTTGAAGTACAAAGAGAAGAGGATCATGTGGGCGCTGCATTGAATGGTCAATGACTATGAGCAGGCTTTGCAGCTGTCTGCAGTTTCATATGGTTGAGCCAATCATGGTACGCACTTGGTGTCTAATTAAGGGCTCTGTTACCCAAATTGACATCCAAAAACAGGGTGTCTCCACTGATTTGTCCCAGCATCTTCCGGTGAGTTCTGCTCAACACTAACCAAAATGCTCATCTTGAGAAACTACTTTTACAATTCAAGGAGGCTTTCGTTCCATAGTATACCGTAGTTCAGTCATCTTCGGAGTTGCCGAGTTGGGACTTGGGAGAGCAACCATTTTCAAAAACAGGGGCATCATTATTTGTATTCACCACAAGAAATTGAATTTTTAGTGATAAAAAATTATGACGAATGTTGAAATCAACACCATAACTCATTATATTTGTGATAGAATTTAAAAATTAATTACAAATGTAAGTATATTTAATAATAAAAAAATTCATCATTAAAAAGATATTTTATTATTGAAAAATGATTACAAATAAAAAATAAGTTTTTAACAATAAAAATATCATTATAATTCATCCTAATTAAGACAATTTTCAAATATTGATTACATATACCTTACAATTCAATGATGACTAAATAATTCATCACTAAAAATATATTTTATCACCAAAAATATATTTTATCACTAAAAATTGTCACAAAAAGAATACATACATGTGATGAAAAAAATTATCACTACAATTCAACCTTATTTAAATTTTCTCTAATCAATGCATCCCACGGTTTTACACTATAAATATATCCTACATCGATAAGAAATATTTAAAAAAATAAAATTTTGCACTATAAAACATGTGAAGCTCAATAAAACTTAAGTTTAGTTTGGACTTGATTAATTTTAATCAAAATTTATTAATGTTGAATTAATAATATTTTTTATTAAATTTTTGTGATAAATTTATATTCAATTTTTTTGTGACATAATTTTTGTTACAATATTTGTGTTGTAATTATATAAATATCTTTTTTTTTTTTGCCCTTTTTGCCAGGGGGCGTTTTGGATCCCCTTCCGGGGGGGGGGGGAGTGCACCAACAAATTGGCTAATGCCAATGGGCCTCTAGGCCCTGGTGCATATAAATATCTTTTTGATTTAATATCAATTTTAATAATTAATAATTAAATTTTTCATCATAATTGCATTTGTGACTATTTTTTTGTCACTCAATTGTAATATTTGTGATGAAAATTATTGAAAAAAAATATTTTTTTGTGATGACTAAACTTATTACAAATAATTTATTAATAATGTAGATTTTTTTATGACTATAAAATTCTTTTCTGTAATAGGTGTCAAATTCGTTACAAAAAACATTAGTGACAAAGGTTTTACTAATGATTTAAATTTTATCATTAATTTTAATTTATAACAAAAAATAAAGGTTTAGTGACTAAATTATTAGTCACTAGATATGGATTTTCTTGTAGTGCGACTTACAAGACTTCAAGAAAAAATGTTTTCTTTTAGATGATGCCATATAATTCATTGAATGAATTTTAGTTTGAACTTTTTAGAACTAATAATAAGAATATTTAAATGGAGTTTTAAATTATTTTTTTATTGTTAGATTTTAATATAATGCTCCTATTTAAACTTTTGATATTTAGATATTTTTGAAAAATAATATAGATATATTTATGGCTGAATGATTGGTTATTAAAACAATTTGTAATTATAACAAAAATAAACTCAAATTCAAGCTAAAATTCTCACTCACGCAAATACTCGCAAGTTTGAGTATGAGCTCAACTATCTAGAGCTTGTCAAATACTCGAGCTTGAATTTTTTAGGTGAGCTCGAGCACAAGTACTTAGGTATTCAACTCAACTCATTAACAGCCCTACTTGCAATCTCAACACTCCCCCCCTAGTTGGTACATTTATATCATACATGCCCAACTTGTCTAGAACATTTGGGAAGACTCGTTTGTTAATAGCTTTGGTAAGAACATTAGCTAACTAGTCTTTTGATCGAATCTTAGGCAACTCTAAAATTTTTCCATCCAACTTTTCTTTGATAAAGAACCTGTCCACCTCAGCATGTTTAGTACGATCATGTTGAATTGGATTGTGAGCAATGTCACATGCAACTTTGTTGTCGCAATATAGTTGAATCAATTTCTTAGATGGGTAACCTAAATCTCATAAGAGATGTCTTAACCACAATGCTTCACAAAGTCCATGTGCCATGCCTCTAAACTAGGCTTCTGCACTTGATCATGCAACAACCCTCTATTTCTTACTCCTTCATGTCACTAGGTTTCCACCCACAAAAGTGAAGTATCTTGAAGTAGATTGTCTATCATCTATTTCTCTAGCCCAGATCATGTACTTGTTCTTAATAAACTGTTGCTTGATGAACTGTTTCACACTCATTTTTTGAGTGTTGCTTGACAAATTGTTTCATGTTGAACTAGTGCATAGGTTCCTTCTAGATTAGGAACCTGTTCTTGACGTAGAATATCTCTATGGACTTCTTCAAAATCACCATTTAGACTAGCGAAAAATATGTGCACCCTAGGTCTTTCAATTGACTTATGGTATGTTGCTGCATTGTCAAGATATATCCTTCATTACCACCTTATCATGATGGTCTAATTCACAAAAGATCTTAGTCAAATTTCCATAGTATTTTGATAGAGACTGGCCACTATGTTTAGTAGTGAATGCTTTTTGATTCAAGGAGAAAACCTTCAACTCATCACTTCTATCGTAGAAGGCCTTTGACAATGCACTCCAAACCTCACAAGCAGTGGGTGTTCATATATAACGCTTCATGATTTCTAGACTCATAGAGATCAACAACCATCTCTTCACCTTCTAGTTTTCTGCACACCACTATTCATATCCATCTTTAGATTCGCTAGGCAGCTTTGTCTTGCCACGA